GGCTCACCTGATGGTAAGTGACTACCGCCGCCCATGAACAACTGCAACACCAGGGAGGGAATTGCAGATGCGTTGCCGGCCTTTTAAAAAGGAGTACGCTCTTTTCTTGAAGGTCCCTAAGTCGTATCGGTCCGGAAAAATCGCTGATGGTAATCGATTCCACAAGGAAGTCGTGCAAGGAAGAAAACATCTTCTAAATCGCACAGTGGTGGACCGCCAATCATCCAGATGGTGTGGATGGTATCGGGAGTTCAGCCGCGATGTGCGTTCGTGAAATTTGGCGGCTGGGATTAATCCGAACAATTCCTCAGAGCACTCCCCATGGTAGATGCGAAAGAAAATGCAAAGGGATGCAACATCTCTTCGCAGTGCCAATGAATCGAGCCGATCGCAAAAGGGCTCGGTCTTCGACGATTCGGGCCGCTCTGCGCTGGATGCGGTCAAGTGGAAGGAGCTGGCACTGGGGAGCCCCTGCCCAGAGATGGGAACAGTATTCCATGTGAGGCCGAACCTGCGCCTTGTAAAGTTGCAGGCGGTGTGCCGGCATGAAATACTGTCCCGCTCTGCTGAGCACGCCAAGCTTTTTAGAGGCCAATTTGGCCTTCTCTTCCAAGTGACCACGAAACTACACGTCACTCGATATGTCGACTCCGAGGATACCGATAGTGGCTGAGGCAAGAAGGGGAGTGCCTTGAAACTGAGGAGATACAACAAAGGGGTTCTTTTTAGCGGTAAACGCGCAAACTTGTGTCTTCTGAGGATTAAACTGGACTAGATTTAGTCGCCCCCAATCCGAGACTTTGTTCAGCAAAGACTCGACTTCAGACACAAGTTTGTTCCGGTACTCGGCGACGTTTTCCCGAGAAATATTGGCACGGCCGATGTATAGAGCATCACCAGTGCTGTCATCCGCATAGCAATGAATGTTACCAGTTAGCAACATATCATTGATATGCAGAAGAAACAGCGTTGGTGATAGCACACAGCCTTGTGGAACACCAGCGTTAATAGGCTTGTAGTCAGAACATGCACCGTCTACTACAACCTTGATGCTCCGATTTGCAAGGAAGCTGGTGATCCAATTGCACAATTTCTCGGGAAGCCCATAGGAAGGGAGCTTCGAAAGAAGCGCTGTGTGCCAAACGCGATCGAAGGCCTTCGCAATGTCCAGACTAACGGCCAACGCCTCCCCCTTGGACTCTACTGCCTCCGCCCATCTATGGGTCAGGTAGACCAGAAGATCACCAGCTGATTGACCCCGACGAAAACCGTATTGGCGGTCACTAATCAGTTGGTGATCCTCAAGGTACCGGATGAGCTGGCAGTTAATAATGGATTCCATTATTTTGAAGAACAAGGAGGTGATAGCGATAGGCCTATAGTTGGACGGGTCTGAGCGGTCGCCTTTTTTGGGATTGGCTGGATAAAAGCTGTCTTCTATGAGTTCGGGACTACGCCTTGGGAGTAGGAGTACCGGAAAAGACGCGTTAGGACCGGTGCCAACTCTGGAGCACACGTCCTCAGCACAATTGGGGGACTCCGTCAGGCCCACTCGACTTCTGGATGTCCAGGGAGAGAAGTGCTTTGCGAACCGAGCGCTGTGAGAACAGCACATCCGGCATGGAGCACTCACACCGCGGGATGGTCGGCGGTGTTTTCCCCCCTTCATCAAGAGTCGAGTTGGACGCAAAAAGGGAGCCTAAAAGGCCAGCTTTGTCTTTTGCGTCTTGGGCCAGTGAGTCGTCCTCCCTGCGCAGAGATGGTAGTGATGGCTTACAGAAATTCCCTTGGACAGCCTTGGCGAGAGACCAGAATGCACGGGTTCCCGAAGGAAGGCGAACTAGTTTCTCGCCAATTCTGCCTATGTGCTCTGACTTTTCCTTGGCAATAACTCTTTTGAAGGACCTGGAGGCGAAGTTATACTTCTTTTTAAGTGTGCTGGTGTTTACATCCCGAGTCGCCGAAGCCGCAGCCCAGGCTTGATAAAACTCCTGCTTACTGCTTAATGCAGTCTTACAGGAGCGACCAAACCAAGGCTGAGATCTGCCTCCTATGGGTACCACAGATGATGGAATAAATAGTTCCATTCCCTGTAGCACCACATCAGTGACAGAGTCAGCAACAGCGCTGGGATCATCCGGCGAGAAGCAAACCCGCCCCCATTTTCCTAACATATCCGGAAATTTAGCTCTCTGTCAGGGAAATAGGAAACATTTCAAATTGTCAGGAATTAAACAGAAAGAGAAAAATATTAGAACTAGAAATTAATATATTTATTAAACAGTTTACATACAAAAAATAATAATATATGAATCAATCTCTAAGTTTTTCATTCATATGATCTGGCTCGTATTTTTTATTACGCATATGTCAAGCACATGCGCGAGTGTTTACAATGAGATATATATCTTATTAGGAGAGCTGGTTTTTATACGTGGTAGGGCTATGCAGCAGCTATATTAGTAGTATAGTTGTAGCACGAACCGGCTAGACCGGGGAAGGACCACACTTTTACAGAATACCAGCGTAAAATAGCAGCTTAACACTGCTGCGTTTCGTATAGTGAGTGTAGAGAACCAGAGACTCTTTTTACTGGAAAAGCGGCATTCCATCTTTTCCAGTAAAAAGGGTCCTTTCCCTCAACAATTCTTTTCATCATCTACATTTTGATTCTTTATTGAAGATAGATGTAGATGTCTATAGGTCACAACAACCACTTACCATCAGGTGTGCTCATTTGTCACCCAACCCCGAAAAAAGACATTTTTGGGTAGGTATTTGAGGCACGCTGAAACGTGACGTGGTTAGACGTAGTAGAGTCATGCTGCAGCTATATTAGTAGTATAGTTATAGAACGAATGGATCGGCTCGACCGGGGAAGGACCACACTCTTACAGAATACCAGCGTAAAATAGCAGCTTAACACTGCTGTGTTTCGTATAGTGAGTGTAGAGAACCGGAGACCTTTACTGGAAAAGAGGCATTCCATCTTAGTCCTCACGCTTGACAACGCATCTGCATTTTGATTCGCAAACGAGGATAAATGTAGATGTATATGGGCCACAGCAACCACTTACCATCAGGTGGACTGTGTGCTCGTTTGTCACCCTATCCTATAAAAAAAAAACTTGTCAAATACCTATCCAAAAATGTCTACCAGGTCTCGGAGTATTTGCTGCCTCTGCGTCAATGTCAGAAAATTTGTTGAAAAGTCAGGGATATTGCCAGGAAAACATATTTTCGGATCTGGTAACCCTTCTCATACCCGTTCTTTATATATGCATCATACTTTTATATTAATACGAATATATGTATAGGAGATACCGTAGCCAAATTTAACTGTATTGCCAATTTACCGCAGTGAGTGCGACTAACAGTTTCTGAGGCAACCGGATTTTTAATTAAATATTCCAGTTCACTTATTCAGAAACCCTAATTGAATATGTTGTTGGGATTCTCACTGATTACATTTTCTTTACTTCTGGTTTCACTTATTTCAAGTTTACCTCGTTATGTAGTAATATTCTTTGACTCCGTGCCCGTGCAGCAGTCGGGCTGCGCAATTTCGTTTAAACATTCATGATGTCGTCGTAATTATTTACTCTACTTCGGGAAACTACGACACATCTTCTCGTTAGACATACCTCAAAACCTTAAAACGAAATTGTACAATCAGTGCGTGTTGCCAGTGATGACTTACGGATCTGAGACGTGGTCCTTCACTGCTGGCCGTATGAGGAAGCTCAAGGTCGCTCAGCGAACTATGGAGAGAGCTATTCTCGGGGTTTCTCTGCGTGATAAACTTAGAAATGAGGATATCCGCAGTAGAACTAGAGTAACCGACATAGCCCAAAGGATTAGTAAGCTGAAGTGGCAGTGGGCCGGCCATATAGCTCGAAAACCCAACAACCGATGGGGAAGAAAGGTTCTCGAGTGGCAGCCTCGTACCGGTAGGCGAAGTGTAGGGCGACCCCCACTACATGGAGTGACGACCTGGTAAGACATGCAGGAAGTCGATGGATGCAGGTGGCTCAGGACCGTGCTTTGTGGCATTCCTTGGGGGAGGCCTATGTTCAGCAGTGGACTTATGAAGAAAGGCTGTAATGATGATGAATGATGATGATTTTACTTAACCCAACCAATTTTTTGTATCGGCTTCCAACTCCACTGCATGGGCCAAGGCGTCCTTAAGCGTCTCGTGACGGCCGAGCCTCACAGCAGCTCTGACTTCAAGGTCGCCGATGCCGTCAATGAATATCTGCACCAGGTTCCTTTCAATGAGCGCAGGTACAGACTGGTATGCTTTTCGATTCAGTTTCTCCACCTCAAGGGCCCGCTGCTGCAGGTTTTCGTTGCTGCGTTGCACGAAATCTTTGAGCTGCGCATGAAAGACGTGTTCCAGGTGACCGTTTGCATATCTCGCCTTCATGCCTCAAGGAGCTGCTCGTAAGTCACTTCCTTACCGAGAGCTTCCAGAACAGTTAAGGCGTGATCGCGCAGGTTTTCTTCACGTCAGCCATCACGCTGTCAACCCGATTGTTCACTTGGTCGCCTTGCCGTCCCATCAGACTATGAGAGTGAGGAAATAGAGAGTGCACCTGTGCTTGCGCACACTCGGGCACTGTAATCCTGTCCTGCGCAGATGGCTAGTCTCCGTTAAGACTGGCCGCCGTGACTGGATATCGGTCTGGAAGACATTATGTCAAAGACATTATCATATTTGATTATTATACGGATTAACTAGGCTATTTTAGCAAAATAGTTAGAGTTCCGCACAAAATAATCAAAACCCATGAAGTCTAATCGTAAAATTTCCACGCGGATGAAATCGCGGGGAACAGCTACTCCAGGTTCCTGCAAAATACAAAGAGACATTCCTCGCTCCCGATTTCGTTTGCGCCAAAGAAGAAAGTTCCCTAAATAGTATTAAGTTATAGTGCTAAATAGCTAAAGTTATAATATTGTATAATAATGATTATTGTTTTGTGTTTGTTTGGCAGTGAGTCCCGCGGCGTAGTGGTGCGGCACCCGCGGCGCTCTGCGGACTCCCTGCTGGCGGACGCCGGCGACGGTGCGGAGGCCGACCTGCTCGGCTCCACGCCGCCGCGCGCCCGCATCCGCGACAAGGAGAAGAGGAGGTGCGTCGCCAGTCACCACCACCTTCTTAAGACATAAAGACATTTATTTCAACACTTACATTTACACACATTACCATTACAGCCTATAAAAGTCCTCTGCTGAATATAAGCCTCCCGCGTAGACTACCTCAAATTGGGGATTTTGGCATAGTTGCCACGCCTAGCATACGGGTTGGCGACCGCAGTTCTTTATTACTTGGAGTTGTTATCAGAAAGATGCTGCTGCACGTCTCCTGTTTCAGTTTCCCTGCGTCGTCGCTTACGACACGTACAGAACGAAATGCAATAGGTAGTAAGAGGTACGTGAGAATAATATGGTCACCTTAAAGTGACCAAGGCTTTGCCGCCCTATAAAGCCTAAAATAAGAGGAAGACAAAGGCAAAAACACATGATCGTATACTACAACTAATATATTAAGAAAAATATAGCAAACAAGCTTTGACAATAATTAGGAACACTTCGAAAAATCAACTTAAAATAAACTAACTACACTACACGATACTAAAATCAACTAAAATATTTACGATAATGTCAACTGTCATAATAGCGTCGATGAAGCAGCGCCCGTTTGACCTTTTATTATTTGATTGACTGATGAAGAGCTATCGCATCACATGACGATCTATGCAAACAAGGCTGTAGTTTTTGAGTTATAAGAACACGACCATATTAACCGGATGACCATATTACCCTCACGTACACCGCCTCTACACGGTTAATCATCATACACACACACACACACATGACACATTACAATTAAAGACAAAATGACGTATTAGGAACAAAAGAAACAGAAAAAAAGAAGTACACATATAATAGTAAAGAAGCACCACACACACATTAAAATGAAAATCGTGTGTTATGATACCCCGGAATTTTGTCATAGTAATCTGGCAACTATGGCAAAATCGCCATTATGAGGCAACTTGTGGGGATGCCTATGTTCAGCCGTGGACTAGGCTGTAATGGAATGGCTTAACTGTAGCTAAGTTGCATTTGGTTTGTTTAGATTTGTTTGGAAATTTCTTGTACTGTCCTAACATGTAGCAAGCATACCTTGAAGGCACCGTGACGCAGTGAGTTACGACGCTGAGGGCTGCGGTTTTGAATCCCGCAGGGAACGAGTGTTTCTATGAACTAAAAATATTGTTCCAGGTCTGGATGATTGTCCTTGTGCAATTTATGTATGTAAACTGTCTCCACGATACAGGAGGAAATCATAATGTGGTTTAAGGTATTTAAAAATAATACTTAACATGTGTATGGTGCATACTGCCGTGTGATGATCCGTGTGATGATGTCGTAAGGGAATCCATCACCTCATATCATCCTGTGATGTTGTAAAAGGCGGCTATGGGAGATGCTACAGAGGTCTCATAGATTTCGATAGATGTATCCACCGTCCTGCATTACTCCATTTGGGAAATACCCAGACCAGCGACGGGCGGCAGCGTCATACATACTATGATCATCATACGCCTGCTGTACGTGTGATTATGAAAAATCGTCCCTGCTACAGATGCTTGTAATTCTTGCGCACACGCCAGAATGCATGTACCTGCGTACACACATACATATACTAGTTTTTGTTTTGTAGGTTAAAGTATCAGTATCTTTTTCAAAAAGCAGCTAAACAGACAATGAATCGTTAAAAATTAAAAAAGAGAGTGCTACAAGGACATGTGGATTCTTATACTGCTCCGAATCCTTCTCAAAAGCCCAGATGTGGGTTGTACATACTCTGTTACTTTATAACTTACAAACTTTGTGATTTCATATTAAGATAACAGGCCAGCATGAATATCTTATTCGGTTATACAATATCGATATTTTTATCAAAGATAAAATTTTGTAAAGCCACATGACATGTAGCGATTAGCAAGGTAATTATGTATGTAATACAAACAGATGTTCATTCCAAGAACTCAAGTAGATAATGTCTTATCAATCATACTGACATTATACTTTTCGTGAAACAACGTGAAACAGTTTGGAATTTGTAGTTTGAAGTAAGATTTGTAGATCAGTACAGAATCATACGTTGATAAATACTTTTGTAAGTTTGTATATTTTCCTACAACGCCTTAAAATCAATCCTACATCGGAATAGGCCCATATCATGAAGAATATATTCATTTATTTCTATTTTTTAGTATTTCTATTGTTACTATTTTGAAAATCGCCAAACGCATATCGTAAAATAAGAACATGCTGGACAGTCGAGTGGAGTGCCGACACCCTCGCAATGATCAAGCTGCTCCCCAACTTCAGTATAAAATTTCCACCATCGTACAGTTGCTAGGGCCTCATTTATTTATAAATAGAACGCACCGGAATCGCCATCGCGTGTCAATCTTACGGCCATCGGAGAAAACAGAAAGAAAGAAAATTTTATTTGATACCTCACAAAAATGTATCAATTAATTACAAAAACATTTGTGCGCTTGCCGCGTAGTAGCGGTGTAAGAGAGTCCACTATCCCATATCATCCCGTGGGCATCGTAAGAAGCGACAAGGGGGAACCGAAACAGGTGATGGGCAGCATCGTATTCCTAATAACAACTTAAAAATAAAAACTGCAACGGCAAGTGAGAGCGTGGTCCTCCTCCCACTCCGTTCGAGCCGACCCATTCGTGCTACAACCATAATATAGCTGCAGGTGGCTCTACCACGTTAAATTTGACGTGTTTTAAAAGGTTTGTCCTGTGTCGTACCAATCGGTGCATCTCGGCGGCGCGGCGGCACGCGGCTAAATGTCGTGTAATCGTTACGGCCACTATCGTGGAATATTGTCGGCGGGCGATCAAAACACGGCGTTTGTTTAGCTTAAAAAATTCAAGGTTATACTCTGAGGAAAAGCCTTGCTTTTAGTTACTAATTTGTCCCCATTGTGTGTATGACGAGTGGTTGGCACTGTGAAGCAAGAAATTAATAAAAATTCTATTTGACACCAATGTAACAATACAAAGCAATACGTAATGGCATCCATGACTTGTTTAGTCACCAAGGCAGCGCCACTTAGGAATGAGGTGAATTATTTGACAGATTTCATGGCGGGGAAAATTAATTTGTTCGGAAAATGTAAGGGTTAATGTACTTTTCTGAAATAATAGTTATATAGCATTATGTTATGTTGCATGCCTTAAGCGCAAAGCCCGTAGGTATGTTCTACTAGCGCCTAAAACTCAAGATTCCAACGTTTTGTCGCATGAAATCGTATCTAACAATCATATTGAACATATAAATGATATAAAAACACATTGCCAGAAAGATAAATGTTTGTTGAAGTTATAATTTTTATTTAATCGGCCAATCGCTATTTTTACATAAAAAAGCGGTTTTAGTGGCATAAGGTGTAGGTTTATCAAGTCCGCGTGGAGGCGTAAATACGATAACTTTTGAAAATATCAATTGTTCGACTCAATCTATTTTTTAAACTCTTCATCTATTACGTACGGGAAGCCATGAAATGTAAATGACAGTTTAATTTTTTTTTTGTTTAGTTATAATTAATTTTTATCGGCTGAGAAATAGCGATATTTTCGGTGTTTTGAGCAGCCTTGTATTAATTTATTTTACTAAATACCTTTACCTCACTCCTGGCCACAAAGTATTTTTTTACTCCGGTCTCAGTTCCCGTCGTCGTTTTTATACAGCGGTTCGTGCTGAAAATATCGATCGCTTTAGAAATACAAAATATTCCAAAAACCAAATTTGATACATACTTGACAAATGCACAGCGGTGACACTCTCTGTACGTGAGAGTTCAAGCGCTGGTGACATTAAGCCCGGAGTGTGTAACTCTAGGGTTGATACCGAACCGAAATAGAATATTATAGACTTGTGCCAAAGAAGATGCATAGTAGGTATATGTTATATAATGTAAACTTATGTATTTAGGTAGTGAAAGATACGATCAATTTTAAATCAACTTTTATTAAATATCTTTACAGATGGGGAATATTAAAATTACCGACAAAACAAAACATGCACGACAGTTAATGGTAATCTTAAATAATTAACCAACACTTAGTATTTTAGTACGTAATAATCAGTATTACCTGCTACCCTTTAAAAATTACTTACTCTTATATATTTTTGGCTTTTTCGATGACTTTTATAATTTTTATTATTATTTCTAACAATTGCAAAAATTCGTAGCCGTATGTATATGACGGCACGTGCACCATTGCACGTGCGGCGGCGTCGGTGTAGCTAGACAGAATTCTTGTAAATAACACGTGCTCCGCATACCTGCACCATTGCACCTGCGGTGGCGCCCGTTTAGCTTGTATAAAACGGACGGAGCTACCGCCGTTAGGACAGTCTTGGCTCTGACGTGGAACGGTGCGCTTGTCGTATTCCGTTACTAGATTATCCTCGACTCGTTGGATAATTCATTATTATTCCTAAATACAAAATCAGTCTCTGTACTATACCCACTATACTTTCTACATATATTTTTTTAGAAAATCTATAGAGTAGCATAGATAGATAGATAACACGTTATTGTATGCCAAAAAATAACGTAAATATTAACAAAAAATGAGAAATTAGATGTAGTACAATGGGTGGTTCAGTGATGTCTCAGTGATCGCGAGGGTGAAAACCGGCAGCGATCACCGAATGGTTAGAGGCACACTGAACCTAAACGTTAAGTTGGAGAGGTCTCGTCTAATGAAGTCAACGCTCCGTCCCCCTCGTGCTCTAATCCAAAGTCCCGAAACCTTTCAGCTCGAGTTGCAAAACCGTTTTCAGTGCCTAGAAGACTGCAATGAAGTGGACGATTTGAATGACAAGCTCGTGGAAACTGTCCATGCGGTCGGAGCTAAGTTCTGCAAGACCCGCCGCAGAAGAACACAAAAACTCTCCGATCACACTCTTAATCTCATGGCTGTTAGACGGGAGATGAAGCTACATTCTTCAACAGATTTGACAGCATACAGGCAACTGAACAGACAGATCTCCAAATGCATGCGGCGGGACTTACGCAACTTCAATACAGCTCGTATTGAAGAAGCGATCGAGCGGAACCA